GAGAGAGAGAGAGAGAGAGAGAGAGAGAGAGAGAGAGAAAGAAGCTCATAAACGATGGGGTTTAGACTTCTGCTTGCTCTTAAAAACGACATGATTTAGACTTCTGCACAGTTTTTAGAGACTTGGGATCGTAAATGGTGAGATCTACGGTTCCATATACAGTTAATTGGATTCTTACAAACTTTGAAAGTCATGTTACATCCTTTACATTTTTCTAATGCTCCTGTTTGATCTTTCCACAACTAAAAACAACTAGTATTCTCAAATTCTTTTTCCAAATGGCCAATGGTCAATAATTTCCTAAACAAAATTGAATGGCCCATCCGACCTAGGGCAAATTACCCGGAGAATCACAGCCTATAGAGCTTGAGTTTGCTGGCAATCGTCAGAGCGATATATATTTACAGAGATTGAAGGTCCTGCAAAATGAAAATTTCCAAATATTATTTTTTTATTTTCTTTCACAGCCTGAAAATTCATTAGAGAGGTTACATAAAAAAAAAATATGCAGGCCCATCATCACAGTAAAAAAGAGCCATCACGCCCTAATAGATGTGCGTATCATTCATGGATGGATACATGCATGTACATATGAGAGACAAAAATATACACATGCGTACATATATCACATCTATGTATAAGTGCGTGTGACATGCGAGTCACATAGCATACAGAGATGACCTAATAAATCAGTGGAGCTATGCCAGCTCAAGAGTCATGGGTCATGCTCATGCATGAACCAGTTGCGTCAATCAATCTTCAGTTTTCTTCCATGTAACCAGAATGATCAAAGAACTATAACTCCAACAGGCTAAATATTATTTGGAATGACAATGTTAGTTCAAGGAGTGTTAGCGGTCATACTTGTAAAATGGTCCGTGCCATACTAAATTGAGGATTTTTTCTTTTTTAAAGTGTTAACTGAACTAAATTGAGGAAGTTAATAATTATTTGAGCATACTGATCTCTATTTTGGGTTTGTTAAGCTATTCCCTTTTTCTTAGTATCTATTCCCTTACAAAGGTATCTACATAACCTCCTTAACATCCATTGGATACCAAGTATTATTACCCCTTATATAAAAGCGTATAACTGAGGATAGTCTATGTCATCAGTGAAGGGTAGAGTAAATATTTCTAGAAGACAACAGCACTTTGTTAGTTGTTCACAAGCATCGAGTGCACCATGTCATTGATGTCACACCCCATATGGATTACATTATTCCCCACTCTATAGAATAAATGTTGTTTTACTGTACCGAAAAATTCTTCCCTTACACAAGTTACCTACTACACCATTCAACAAAGGTTAACTGAAATGAGAAGGATATTAAGTATTCAAATGCACCATATAGTATGTATATAAATTGTTTATTCAAAGTTAAAGGCATATATGACTGTAATCATTCGAAGCTAAAGTAATTGGACTTCATTATTTTAGATATCGGCGTCTCGAATTGAGATTTGTTAAACTACGAGCTATATAAATACAAGCTGCTCATATTTACCCCCAAAACAGGACCCTAGGAAAAGTGTTCACCAACTTCATCTCCATTTGGCGTGCATGTTTGACAACGGTGAAGCTTGTTCCCTAACAATCATAACTTCACACAAAGGGAAGAAGAAATCCAGAGGCTATGAAGAAAGCATGCATAAGTTGCAATCCCTGGTAGACCAGGAAAGCAGTAAATGACTGGACAAACTGACCCATAAATATAAAGAGATCTTTGCCAGATATCAATGCCTCAATGAATTCCCATCACTATCGAACTTAATATGACCCTCATTGGGGTAAATCAGAAGCAACCAATATAAATCCCGATGTCTAACAACAGAACAACAGTGTCATAGTTGTGGCACATGTAGAAGGATAGGAACTTGTGCAAGAAAAAAGGATAAATTTATTAACCCACTACATCAATCCATAAAATTATTTTCTTGGAGAGTTTGATTCAAAATCATATCCTATATAGTGTACACATTCTATCTTAATCGACTATTAACATGAAGTATCCACCATACTTATCCTAAATAAGAAAAGAATTATCTGTTCCAAACACCACACACACACACACACACAAGCCAAGCTTCACAATCTCGACTCAACAACACAACTAAGAAAAGGAAGGTACTATGAGAAAGACCACCCAACGGATTGTTGTACATTGGCCAAGCTTAACAATTTTGGTGGTAACCAACAAGCCTAAGGATAGAAAACTACTACAAGGACATAAGTTTTACTCTGATGAAGTTCAAGTCCCTCCAACCCTATTTCCTGTTGTTCTTCAGACCCATTTCGAAGGCCCATAACAGCATAAAAAATGTATTCATAATTTCACAACGGACAAAATTGAACAGAAATAAATCAAATCAAAATTTTGTATGACAAGGTCATACGGCCATTACAAAATGAAAAACCTATATTAATTATTATATTTTCTCCATATAGGCTTGGTAAGTGACCAGAATAGATAAAGTAATAGCAAATAGACATGTAAATTTGATATAAAATTTGGATGAGAAACATGGTGAAGGCAATACCTTCAGGACCCAACTCAAGTCCTCACAAAGCTAAGCCGTGCTAGATAATTACTCTCAGCAAAATCATGCAATGTACGATGAGCCCGTTTCCCTTCATGTTCTATGGCACAAATATCTTCTTTAAAGGCTCTTCTGCACTCAGTAGGGTTCTGGAAGGGACTAGATATCAGTAACTTGAAAAAAAAAAAACTTAAAAAAATAATACTAGTCACCATCAACAGAGAGTCGATCCATGATATTATAAGTTACAAAGTATGGCTAATTCTGGTCTATACAAGCTGGTAGTAAAATTTGATTACAGAAAGAGCATTTAGAGTAACACAAACCCATCACCATGTTACAAGTCCAGCTATCATAAAAGACATTAAAAAGTAGCACACACCCTCCAAAATCATCTGATCTCCATATAAACTTATTCCCCAACTTGGGGAGCCAAAACCAAGTCAAATCGCTCAACTTGGAAAAAGTCCTTTGGAAAACTCAGCAATGTCAATTCTTTTTTACAGATAACAAGTTAAAACCGCAAAATATCATCTCAAGATTTATAAAGTTAATCTGTAGCATTATGTTAGGGTACACATACATGTGAGCATTTATGAAATATACTCAACATTTTTTAACATTTAATACCCTTATCCTATAATGTAGTAACTTTTTATCTAGGGGTATTTTAGGAAATTATTCAAGGGCAAAGTAGAATTCATGATAAAACAGAAGAGCATTCGTTGACTATAGTGGAGAATAACATCATCCATATGAGGTGTGACATTACCCACATAGAGTATTAAATGCCACTAAATTCTTGTAGAAATATCTATCCTACCCCTCCTAATGATGAAAAATACCGATGCTAAAAAAACTTTTGCACTACAAACCAAGGGTAATTAGTGTCAAAAAATGTTGAGTACATTTAGTAAATGCTCACATATATGTGTACTTTAACATAATCATATATGTATTTATGTATATATATATATAGGAAGATACTACAAAACGCCTTTTGGCAAAAATGAACAGTGATTTCGCCTACCCTCCTCATCACCGTCCAAAGTTCATCGCGCGGTCACGATTGTCAAGTAGTGTTTCATTTTTCACTTTTTTTCTACAAATCGAAATGACCTGAAATTTGGACTGTTTTCATAAAAAATAAGCGAATCTACAAAAAATATCAAAAAAAATCTTTTACATGAAAAACATTGACCAAACTACCTCCGAAATGTTTCGGGGGTATTTTGGTCATTTTTTTAACGAATTATTTATTAGGTGCGCCTCACTAAGATGTACACGCCCTCCAAATTTCTGGTCATTCCGATTTGTAGAAAAAAAATGAAAAATAAAACACTACCGGACAATCATGACCGTGTGATAAACTTTGAACGGTGATGAGGGTAGGCGAAATCACTGTTCATTTTCGCCTACAGGCATTGGGAAGACTTTTCCATATATATATATATATATGGGATTGTATACAATGAGACCATTTATCTTTTATACAAGGTGGTCACAATTCCTTACAGCCATTTAAAGTAAAATTTGATAGCTTCGACGTGTCACAAAGTTCGAGAAAATTTCTTTTAAAGTTTGAGCTAGGTCAATGCAACTAACCAATTTCACATCCAATGTTCAAAATTAATGTGACCAACTTGTATCAAACGTAAATGATATCATTCTATACTTTCCCTATATATATATATATATATATATGGGAATAGATCCTATTAGCCCACGGGCTAACAGATACAGTGTCAGCCGATGCCCCAGAATGAATCTGGGCCGATCTGACGGTCACGACTGCATTTGGTATTTGAATTTTCATTTTTTTTGCAAATCCAAATCACTTGAAATTTTAGATGTCCATTCTTCTCATCAAGGGGCACCTAATAAAAATATAACAAAAATAATTTGTAAAATATAAAATGACTAAAATACCCTTGAAATGTTTTGTGGGGTATTTTGGTCAATTTAATTTTTGCATATTATTTTTTTATATTTTTATTAAATTCGCGTATATTTAAAGAATAAACGCTCAATTTCAAGTGATTTGGATTTGTAGAAAAATAAATAAAAATTCAAAAAAGAAATGAGGTTGTGACCATTGGATCGGGCCGAGATTCAATGTAAACCATTGGCTGACACTGTAGTTGTTAGCCCATGGGCTGACAGGATCCATTCTCTCTCTCTCTATATATATATATATATAGAGAGAGAGAGAGAGAGAGAGTCGGTGGTGGAGGGTAGGTGGTTGGTTGGTAGGAGTGAGAGAGAGAGAGAGAGA